CTGAATGCAACGCCTGCAACTGCCTCAACGAGCAAACATTTTGGAGACTTACCCACAACCGGCCTGATTCAGGATACCCATCTCTGGGTGAGAGCCTATGCCACGCGCCTCCAATGATGCTTCCCGAAAGACACAAAGCCAAGGGATGCAACACTGTCCACAGACTCTTTCATGAAGTTGGTGCATCCACTCTTCGGCGATGCTCAAATCATCGACACGCTCGCAGTCTTTAAACGCAGTGCCGTCTTCGTCTTCACTGAGTCCGGCTTGTATTCGAGCTTTCCTAGTGATAACCCAGACTTTATCATTCACACAAACATTCAGAACAACTTGCACAGATACTTGCTTGAAGAAGAGTGCAAGCCAGTCTACAATATGTTCAAAATAGGCGTCCTCGTGTACGCCCCTGAATACCTGGCCCTCGCAAACAAGGACCAGGATATGATCAAGGCGAGTGCCGGGGCCATGTCCAGCTTCTCCTCGCGAGATGAGTATGTGTCGTATTGCAACACGCAAGTGCAGGCTTGGCTGCGACCGTCGCGGCACCTCCCGGCAGCTCCTGACGATGCATCAGATGAAGAGCTCGATGCTCAGCTTGCACCGAAGGGTTTACAGGTCTATCGCCCGTTTTCGCGGCCATTGGCAATGGGCCCCGCCCAAATCGTCTTGGGACATTCAGCTATGCTTCGCCCGCCAAGCGTCTGCGTGTCAAGACACCATCCATGCAGCCGCTCCCGAAGACAGAGACCATCCACGACATCAAATTGGCAGCTGACCCGAGCATGACGGCAGACGAGGAGGCCGTTCGGCATATGCACAATTGATGTCTTTCCCCGGGCTCGGGCACTATGTAAATCACATCGCAAGCAAGTACAGGCAAGAGAAACGGCACATTGCAGTGCAGTTATACGGCCTTTGTGTTGTGACTTACTTGCGACCGGTGCTAGCTGTGTGACTGTATGCCGTCTGTCTGGAGCTTGCATGCTCGTATTTTGGCACACAGCGAGCCGTAGTCGCAGTCCCCTCTATTCCCGTGGTCAGATCGGTCCAGAAGCGACCCGCCGCCAAGAAATCCAGTTCCTGGAAGGATGTCAAGTATGTTCGTGGGAAGTGTGCTGTGGGTCAGCGCAGGGACCACGTCAAGTCAAAAGGACGCTTCGCCAGCTGCGAGCCACCGACAAGGAGATCATCAACATCCTCATCGCAGACAAGTCCATCCCAACATGCGAAGTCAAGACCTGCCCCACCTGCTCCACGGCACCTTATCCCAGCTGCAGCTTTGCAGTCGTCGCAATTGCCACGTGTGGATGAACCCTCACCATCTACACCTACTCTTCACCGAAAACCAAGGACCGCAGGCTCAGTTCTTCCAAATGCAGGCCGCTCATATAATACTCAAGTTGCACAGGATTCCCCAAAGCAAGACTGGATCTTCTTCTCGATGTCAATCAAAAAGCCATGGCCCAGACGAAGATCTGCAAGCTGATGCAGGAGTATGTCAAGAAGAAGGAAAAGGAGATCATGTTCGAAGGAGAAGGAGATCGTGTTCGGGGATGGGAAGTCCTGGAAGGACATCGAGCTGATGAGACTACCTTTGACAGATGCGACATATCTCAGGATGTGGAGTTCAATAACTTGATCCAATCCAAAGACTGCGTGAGGATGTGGGAGCAGTGGGCGGGCATCAGTCAGAGCGGCCGCTCCGAGACTTGAACTCTTCGCAAACTGCAGCCCAAGATCACCATGAAGCGTGCCCCCGGACCCGGCGCCATCAGAAGATTGAGCGGAAGGCCTTGGGAAACGAGCTGTTGCGGGATCACAAAGGGTTTGTTTGTCTGCGTGTCTATGTTTCTATTTGTGTATCTCTTTGTCCATGCATGTTTGTGTATCTGTCTATCTAGTTGTCTATCTTTCTATCTGTCTATCCATGTTTCTAACGAAATTTCTGTCTGAAAACCCGCATCGTACATGCGTACACACATGTGAACGCGAAGCATGGGATAGGGTCCAAAATCAACCTCAAGGCTAAACGGTCGGATTGCCAGTTCATGAGCTGCCGAAGTCATCGATGAGTTTGAGAAAAGAGTTTGAGTCATCAGTTTCACGGTAGAAGAGACTCTATATATTATAGTGTTAGTATGAAGTGCCCCGAAACCCCATGCTATTTCTCCAGGCTTTTATACTCTACAGATCAAGTTTAAGTTCTTCATGCAGGGAAATTTGCGGGCAAGGCCCCGGGCCATTTCGTGGTCATGCGTGTAGTTCCCGTTACAAGACGCTTTAGGATGTAGTGTTTAGGGGTGCGAAGGTTTCCGGATATCCAACCCCGTCGCATTTGCTAGCCCTGATGTAGACTCGCAGAGTTCCGCTTCGAGTCGAGGCCAAGATTCATAGACCAAAAGAAATGGAATGCATGTGTGAAAATATTATGAAGACGGATGAAAAGACCAACATGTGGCCATGTATAACATAATAGAGCAAGGGTGCAATTTGTTTTAACAGCGCGACTATCAACATTCTGTCACTTCTCTCTCTCTCTAACATCATCTTTTTCTGCGTGTGTATATAATATACATGTACACGGCACATCGCTGCTTTGCGAGCGTGCATGCCTGTCAAAGTGTGTGTGTGTGTGTTTTTGTGTGCATGTGCATATGTATCATTGTGTGTCCGGTATATTTCACTCGCAACTAGATGTGTATCAGATGTATACCGAAATTTCATAGAGTAGCACCATCCCCCATTTTTATCCCCCTGCAGCGTCACTGTAGCTAGTCGTCGCATCGGCTCACTTGTGTGAGTTTCGTGGTCCTGAACTGTCTAAACACTATAAACCCTGAGCCAAGAAGTGCGCACGGAATTACAGCCAAGAAGGTCTGAATTACCGGCACTGGTTCTTTGCTGCACTCTCTAGTTCGTGGTCCATGCCTCGCGCCACAGTCAACTAGGGGCAGCTGGGTGGCAAAGAACCAAGCAAAGCACGCAACAAACCTGCAACCCACAGCAACCTACACAGCTCCTATACCTTAAACCCTTAACCCTAAACCCTAAACCCGTAAAATCTAAACCCTTAAACCCTAAACCCTATAGTACCTTAAACCTGAAACCCGTTTTCCCCCGTTAGAACCAGGTTGCGAGCTTTGGTCAGCTGGTCGCGACATGGCTTTGGCTGGTGGCTCCGTGGCCAAGGGGGACCGCGGCTTGGGGGGCTGAGGCTTCATGTCGTGTAGTTGCGGTATAGTATAGTATGGTATAGTTATGGTATAGATGTGGTATAGTTGTGGTATAGTATGGTATGGTGATATGGTAAAGTTATGGTATAGCATAGGGTAGTTAGGTAGGGTACAGTATGGTATGGCTTTCTTGAGATTCAGGGTTCAAATTGGGGTCGGGTTTAGGTTAAGAGTTTTACGATCCTCGGTATGCCTCTTACCTGCTGTTGCGGGATCTGGGTTCGGCGTGTTGTTGGATGTGGTCCTATACGGGTCACCTATAGGCCCCATAGTAGTTCCTGTTTGGGGTTCATATTTAGAATCCTATAAGGTAATCCCCAAAAGGAAACTACTATGGGGCCTATGGGTATGCAAGCAATCAGCTCAGTGCAGGGTCGAAGAACTTACCGACTCCATGACCCGGGTGAGTGGAATGCTTTTTCTCGGCGAATTCTTTCATGTTCGGTAAGCCGTGGCAGCAGGCCTCTTAAATTTAATGATATGAACTTCAGGCCCAGTGCTGTTCAGCGAAGTGTCTACACTGAGCTTTGTTTGTTGTTTTGTTGGGGGGGGGGGGGCGGGTTTTGAACCCCAAACCCGGTGCATGCATTGCAGTTCCCCGTCGGCAAATCACTTGCCTACTCGCTGAGAGGACTAATACGAGGTGATGCAGACGTAACTATTGCGTGTTGGATGGCTTGATTTCCTGAAGCGTTCGCAGATATATAATACCACACTGCCCAACGAATCATTGAGATCTGTCTCCACCCTCGGCTTCAGAACTTTGTCCCATCAGTCGAAGAACCCCCCACTTTGCCTTCGGGAACCTTTGTTTGGGGTTTGGTCTCTGGCGATTTCATGGTTGTGGAGCTGTTAATTCGACAGAGTCGGTCTTTTGGGGTAGTACAATCAATCCAAGACAATGTTAGCCTTAGCTTCGCCAAAGAGACTGGACGTAAGGAAATCTGAGTGTTCCAAACGCAAGTCCGCTAGCTCTGACGGTACGTGTGCAGTTCCCTGCATCTACAGGCTTTCGTGGGTTGGAAGGGCTTGTTTGAGATGGAAGGTCCTGTCTGAAACCCCTAAACCTGAAACCCCTATAAACTCCCCTAAACCCTAAACCCCTAAACCCTAAACCATCTGAACCCCCAGAAACTCCAGCCTGCGCTTAGCAGGAGATAGGCGCTGCGCCGCCGGAGTTTCTGTCTGGACCGACGGGCACGACGTGACCCAGCGGATTTTGGCCCAGGGACTTTTCAGAAGCTTCTGAGGTACCACGGCACTATTCTAGAACCTGGTGGCACTCACTGAGTGAGAATCGTGCTGAAGTGTGCAGGCTTATGTCATTTTGCATATTATCTTATAGTCATACAGTTTCTTTGTTTTTATAATACATTACATTTGTATTATATTGTATTATGTTATGTTAAGGGTGATGGGTTCGAGTCGTTCATGTGCAGCCGCCGAGGTCCCACCTACCAACTGTCCTGGGGCAGGGAGGAAGTGCGTTGCAGGACATCGTTCAGGGTCTGCGCGACTGTGCCTGCAATAGCGTATGGTTCTTGTCAAAGCGCAGACGTGACTTCTCCTGTGTTGTGTCCTCAAGCTTTAGATCGGCGAGACGGCCAGGGAACGAAGGAAGACTTATGTCAACATCCAAGCGAGCATTCATACCTTACTATGCTAAGTATGCCGAACTGAATCGGCCCCCGGTAAGTTTGCAACACTCTCCCTCAAACATCGAGATCCCAACCTCGCTTCGCATAGCTTCCCCACACCAGCTTCGCGATGGCCCCGCTCCCCCGCCTCAAGAGCCGATTCTGCTGCCTTGCCTTGGCTTTTACCGCGAGCAGCCTCCTGTCGCAGAGAGACTCAGAGACGGCGCGGGCCCCGTCCGGTCTGGTTCGGCCACGGAGGGATGGGTTTTAGTTGTTGTTGTTGTTGTTGTTGTTGTTGTTGTTGTTGGGGTTTGACGGCATTTAGGGCCTTTAGGGTTTTGAGGGATTTCGGGGAGTTTACGGATGTTAGGGTTTAGGGTTCTTGGTGCAGGCCGACATCGCTTTGCAGGGCTTGTCCCGAGGGTTGCATGTGCTATGTGCTACTCCAGTAGCGCCAGCTGAAGAGCGTGGCTTCAAAACAAGGATGCAAACGAGACTGCTGGAGTACTGTACTGCAAGTGTAGTGCAGATGTGCTGTGCATCGTATTTTGGTCATAGCGGGGTGCAGAGACACGTTTCTAAGCAAAGCGGAACGGTGAAGCGTCCGTGCAGTTCGTATCAGGAGAGCAGGCAGAGGAAGCCAGGACATCGGAAGCTGTTTTCGCATGAGTTTATGGGTTCGTTCTGGATCTTGCCGTGGGATGGGATGGAAATCTAGAGTCTAGCATGTGACGAACCGGGTCATCAGAAACAGCTTGAAATGCAGGGTTTTCAATGGCTGCTAACGAGGAACAAGTCACGACAATAAGATAGTAAACAGGGTTCTGCATACTTGAATAAGTAGTCATGCCATCCCTTACGGTGCTTTCACATCGTAAACCCAAAACTTCCCTAAACACGCCGCCCACAACCAGTATAGCAAGGTCTGGCTGTCCAAGTGTGAGTGTCAAAACCAGCAAAGCAACTCCTCCATGTGCCCCAAAGCTCTTAGTCCGAATTTCTTCAGTTGCAAAGCAACAAGCTCCTTCGATTTCTGGTAGTCAGGGTAACCTGTAACTAGTGTGCTTGGGGGTGCAATCTGCGTAAGCCCTATGAACCCGAACTCGGATTTCTGGATTTGTCGTGTTTTGTGTTTAGGGTTTCAGGTCCTCCTGCGTGGTCTCCCCTGGCGGCTCATCCCACGGCTGTTCCCGAGTGAGCCCACGGAGCCAGGCTTCTAGATAGTTGGGACTCGTGGAGTACCTATAGTCTCCATTGTAGTTCCTGTTTTTGGTTTTACCAATAATAGATTCAGGATTTTATAAGGCATCCCCCAAACGGAACTACAATCGAGACTTTATAGGTAGAGCTATATAGAAGCCTCAATAATTACCAAAATTTGGTCCTTCGGGCCCCTTATTATGATTAGATGCAAAAAAGGAGCCCAACACCCTGTTCTAATTATTAAGCCTAAACCCTAAACCCCTAAACCCCTATTATTAAGGCCCCTACATTTAGGTAACAGGGCCGAGGCTCCGGAAAAAACTCAGAACTTTGAGGAATAGTGAGGTCTGAATGTAGAGGAATCAGGATCCTGGCTTGGGGTTGAGGGCTTCTTGACTTTTTTGTAGACACCACAGGAGTTCTGAGCTGCAGATGGAGTTTAGCTTTGCACACCACTCCTCCGGGAACTGGCTTCATGTACCGTAGATAGCGTTAAACGACTTTCTTTGCCAGAGCAACGATCATTATGCATGCTGGCGGCTTGCACCCATCAGAGTCGAACCTTGCCATGTCGGTTTCTGGTTTGACACTTGAAGTTTTTTGCGGCATCTCGCTTGCAGAACATTTTTGCATAACCCAGATGGCAGCCCCGCTACTGCTGTCGTCTGTGTCATCCGAATCGCTACTGCTGCCATACTGTTTGTGAGGATACAGCTTCATCGCTGCTCGTCCTCTCGGCCGATATCTAAGATTGCCATCAACCTCAAACTTCAGAACGGGCCTATAGGTTTTGCTATCCGGAACCTCACCCGCAACTCAAAGGCCTTCGTTCAAAGACGCAAACTGCGCGCGCGTGCGTGCCGTTGGTCGTGATACTGGTGGACGGCGGCGTGCCCCAAGTCTGTCGTTATGGGACAAGGGCGCCGATGACTTTTGTTTCGAAGACTTGTCCGAGTTGCCTCGGACAAGGTGTCCAGAAATGGGTCCTGTGCCTCGTTGTGGCGCCAGAAGACGGACAGTTATCGCCAAACTTTGAGCTTTAAGCATGACGCCCGGCTTGTTGTCGCAACATCCGAGTCGTGTGAGCATGGTTCGTAGAAATGCGGTATATGAATAGCAAACAATAGCTGTATCATGATATCAGATGCCATTTTAATTGCGTGGTCACAGCATCCTTTTTCAATGCATAGCATTGCATTGCTATGTAGTGCCTTTTGCACGGCTAGATCATACGTTTCTGAACTTATCCGCATACTACAATCCTTGAGGCCGTCTGCAGCCAGCGGTTGCTTCATCCGGGAGCTCAGATCGTCACTGTGCTCAGAAACACACAGTTTTGGTAGACACGATGGTTTCTAATTAGATCTGAGGGTGGCTCATGTTGGGATCCGTATCATAGGGAGGAAGGGTTGGTGCTTTCTTGCTGTTGTGCTTTGCAGCTGAAGCGTCGGCAAAGCAGCAACTGAGTGAACGGCCAGTGCGGGCCCAGACAGCGAAACAGCGGCCACAGCAATAAGAAACACCTCCTCCCGCTCCAACATCAGCAACAACAAACACCCCACCCCCCACAAACAGCAAGAACAACTTCAACAGCAAAAACTCAAAAACCCTCCTACCGTAATAAGGATCATGCGAAAAAGGCTTCTTCATCTGGGTCTCTTATTTTTTTGGACTCTCTAGAACTGCCAGAGGAGTTTTAGTTCCCGCCTTTTGTCCCTACTCATGATGACCCATTGCCCTAAACAAAATCCCCGGAGTCTTCGGGACACTGGGGAGAGTCTAGGGCACAGGCTTTCTGCATCATCAATACCGTTCCTTGGGGCTGCTTAACTATTTGAGGGGATTAGGGTTTCGGGCTTATACCAGAACAGACCACAAAAATCTGAAAGGCCGCCGCAGAAGCAAGCAACGAGCAAGATGCTTGACAGCATGAGCAGGCTTGCGGCATGTCCATCTCAACCATCATGCAGCCCAAGCATCAAGCTATCATCAGAAACGGGTGAGAAGCCGAAATTTGGCAGCAGTAGCAATCTTATGTCCTAAGCCTCAAACTCTCAACCAAGGGGCTGAAGTAGATGCCAGCAACCCCTAAAACTCCAAACCCCAAACCCTAAAACTCCAAGCCCCCAAGCCTTCCCAGCCGAGGCTTTCTGCTTGCAGGCGTTCCGAGGGAGGAGGTGCGCCGAGTGGCTGAGCTGACTGCAGAAGTGGCGGCGCTTGGAGAGGACTTCGGGTTAATATAGGGGCCTAAAGTACCAAGACTATTCTGGGGGGGTCCTTATTATAAATATAGTATAAAGGGCCCAACACCCTATTCTTCTAGTCACTAGTTATTCAGGCCGCTATAACAAGGATTTCGGCGTTGGAGCTTAGGGTTCGGGCTTTAAGTTTAGGATTTCGGGTTTGGGGTTTAGGGTTTTGGATTTGCGAAGGACCTCCGCTCTCGGCACTGCCAGCAATTGTACTTTAGCTCTCCTAAACCCTAAACCCTAAACCCTGAACCGTTCCCGCAAAGCGACTTCGAAGCCATTTTTGCCGACGCTCTTCCGTCGCAGGAGCCTGATCCCTTTTGGACTTGAACACTACGTCACGACGCAAAACCCTATGGGTAGTTCTCCAAATTAGGGTCCCTTTTTGGGTCCCCAACATAGTGCGGCACCCTTATAAAAAGCACCCTCTAAACGGACCCTAGTTTAGAGAGGTTACCCATATTATCATTCCAAGCCTGTTTGGCTCCCTGGACGGTGGAGGAGCCTCTAGCGGATCCCCTGACTTTGCTCCGCTTCCTTAGGCGCGGGGGTACATTGCCTTGGCTTAGAGGAGCAGGTCGGCAATTCTATGCCGGGAACGCGTCTCTTACCTTCCTTTCTCCCCTTTATCCGTTGATATTGATAACAGGTTCGGCCAGCCTCCTGCATGCACCTCTAGTTAAATTTGCAGCTACACACAGAAGCTCGGCTTTGGTTTGTTTATGGGGTTTATGAGTTCCACCGTGTAAGAGGTCGCGACGTAGGACTGTTCAGCATTTGTTCGCGTGCATGTGTGATGCCTTCAATTGCTAGGGTGGCTTAGGAAGTTTGAAACCGACCCGGGTCAGCTCGTGCCCAGCATGCCTCACGGCACCCTTCGGCCGTACCGTGCCGGCCACATGCAAACGCAACACTAGGAAGCCTGCACTCTCTGGTGCTGTTGGTGCTAGCTAGCCTACGATTTGGGACTGGGTTGTAGAGGGCCTCAAATAGGAGGCATGTATATGACCTGCAACTTCTCCTGGTTACAAACCACATGATGCGCGAAATCCGAAACCCGAGACCCAAAATCTGGATGTGAGTCCTGCGCTGACTTTTAAATTGTGACTGCTCTCTGGAGTTGCCCCCTTCTGGCATTGTCTGCTCAGCCCCGTGCAGGGCACGCCACGGCAACGTACCGGCAGCAGCCCACATGTATCGCGACACCCTCGCCTGGCGGTCGAGCTTTCTGGTTGCAGGTGCGGTGTTCGGAATCCCTGTCTTTCAGGAGCAGCCGAGGTTTCTGCATCTCCTCTGTCATGAATGCCTTCGGCTCGGGCGGAGAGTACCACCGTGATGGGGCGCGGGCAACTGATACCTCGAAATGGACCTGGGCTCCAAGTCCCAGCAGCTGAGGTTGCAAGTATCAGCCCAGAGGACGCGTTGAAGCATCGCGCTGTATATGGGGGTTTCTGAAAAAAAAAAGGTACCCTATTTTGGGGTCCTTATAATAAGGGTCCTACTATTTAGGGTACGATATTCGGGTCCCCTATTTTCTGAAACCCCCATATCTGAGAATCTACTCGACTCTTACTTATCTATCGACTCCCACCGTCCCATATCCGTGCACAAAAGTTTGCAAAAAGCATGAAGAACCAGCAAGCCCCCACCCTCCTGTTCCTGAACACGAATGCGCGAATGAACACCGAAAGTGCAATTTCTGCATGCCTGCGGAAGTCAGTCATGGGGACATTGGGAACGCAAGCAAGAATGCATGTTCATACCTTCTGTCGCTCAGTTGGATGGACATTGCACGACCTTTAGGAACAGACCAGAGATAAATGGAGAGACAGACAGACAGACAGACAGAGAGAATCAGAGAGAGAAAGACGGAGAGCTATAGCTAGCTACGATAGGTAGATAGAGACTGTATGTGGACAGACGCAGAGACAGAGATAGAGACAGACTGCATACACGCATACATATATGTTGAGTATAGTAGTTCGAACTCGTGCAAAACTTGTCAACTTAGGCACGCCGGAATCCCGAATGGCCGCTCGCCACGCTTTCTGGGGCAGATTGCTGGCCCCAGATATGGAGGATCTCTGCATGGTTTGCGGGCCTTTGCACCAGAAATAAGGTCAAGCCCAGTAGAGCTCCGAATAGTCCATGCGTACACACCTACTGCAGTAGCACCCAACATAGCAGCTATCTGGAGAGACAAACGCCAAACCATAATCTCAAAAAGCCCAATCGGAAATCCCGAACCTTTGCCCAGGAGCCTGTATTGATCTGGCGCGCCGGAAGCGCGGACTACGAAGGCATGGTCCGCAGCTGGGCACAGGATCAAGGTTCATCCTAAACAATTACCTATACTGTTTTGGTGTTTTTTTATATTTTCATAGTATAATATGCCTCAAAAATGGGTGTAGAAGGACAGGGAGTTCCAGATTTCGGAAGGGTGCGAGAGAGGGATATCGAGCGAAAGAGAGACTCGACCACAGCCCTGGCGAAAGAAAGAGACTAATGTAGAGGCCTTAATAATTCGACATGGGGTTTAGGGTATTTTCAACTATAACTTTAAAAAGGAACCCCCCCAAAACCCTATTCTAATTATTCAGGCCCCTACATTCTGCATGCGACGTGGGACGCTGAGCAGCTCCAAGGGGCTTGGAAAGTCGGCTAGGTTGGCAGGGTTCCTAGAGACTCCAAAACCCCTTAATTAAGGAATATACTTTAAATGATACTAGGATCCCTAATAGGATTTAAGGTATATTCCTTCATTAAGGGGTTTTGGAGTCTCTAGGTTCGTTACTTCAGAGGGGCCTTGAAAGAAGCGCGGGAGCCTCAGTGGTGCCTGCTCATGTTTTTGTTCGGGTGTTCAATGCGATCTCCACGGAGCACGGTTTTCCTGTGGTAATCGGTTGAGATATATACATATATATATATAGAGAGAGAGAGAGAAAAAAAAAGAGAGAAAGAGAGAGTCAGGTGTACCTTCTCTCGCAGACGACGGAGACTCGTGTTGCACCTGCACCACCTTAGGTGCCCCAAAGTGGTAGGTGCATGTTTCCAAAAGTCACCGGGCTCCCCTGGGGTTTCTCTCACTTATTTGGCACGCCTAAGTAACTTAGGTACGTGGGGGGACACCAGAAACACAAACAGGACGGACACTCAGAGAGTGACAGGCAGAGATACACGTGGAAAGTGCGGCATCTCGATGCCCCTCTTGCGATCCGGGGCCTTCCTTTCTCCAAGGACCCTAAACCCGAAACCTCATAGAGGCAAAAACCCCCGAAAACCTAAACCCCAAGCCTAAACCCCTAAACCCTAAAGACCTAAACGAGCCTTGCCTGCAGTGTGCGAGTGTGAGAGCCGAAAGCCCTAAACCTAAACCCCTAGGTGAGCACCGAAACCTAAACCCCTATACCCTAAACCCCTAAAGCCCCAAGCCCCAAGGAGAAGGCATCGTCGACCTGATGATCGAAGCATTCGTGGCCCATCTTGAGGACGCATTTCAAGCCGTGCGAGCGTGCTCTTTGAAAAGTTTTTTGGCTTGCACTTTAAGGTTAGTATGGGGGCCTCAAGAATTCCGGTATAGTATACACAGTCTACCCGATTTTAATCATTACGGCCCCAATATCACTTGCTTCACCCTTAGCCCTAAACCCTGAATCCCAAACACTGCTCTGAAAGAGCTGCTGCCAGTTACCAACAGTGGTCCCTTGCTAGTCTGGGTTTAGCTGTTCAGGGTTTAGGGCTCCCTATACACAATCGCACTGTTCAACAAGAGGGGTGTTAATCATCGAAAAGCCTTGTGCAAGTCTTTGCAGCGGGCAGGTTTTGCAGGTGGGGAACGAGAAATGGTATACTGGATCGTCGAATTCCTTGGCCTTATACCTGTGATCGGCCGCAGCCGCTGCAAACACACAGGCATTCGTAGTTTCCGCAAGGCGTGCGACGTACACCCTTTGGGAGGGTGCGAGATTCCACTGTGCAAAAACGCGCTCACGATATCCGCCGAGAGATCGAAAGAGAGAACTCATTCCAGCTTCGCGTCCCGCCATGGCAGATATGGCAGCTCCAAGCCCTAAACTTGTCCTAAACCCTAAACCCTAAACCCTAACCTAAATGGCCTAAAAAGACCCAAGCCCTAACTGAACCGTAAAAGCCTCCTAGACATGACTGCCATGTTTTCAACGCCGAGGCAAGAAACTGCTGAAAGCACGGGTCATTATCGACTGCAAGGGGTTCGGCTTCGAGAACGTGCGCTACATCCCAATCCTCCGGAAGATTCTTTGCGGGCTCATAAGGTGCTTTTAGCGCTTCAGGGCTTGCTACATGGCTTACAGTGGACTACTAGGATTGATCAGTTTTGCAGTCTCCAACAAGTGCCCAAGAAAAAAGGCTCTCCGGGTTTAGGGCTTAGGTACTTAAAGGATCATGGGAGTTAGTAAGTAGGGTTATAATTAGGGTAACTATACTTATAACCCCAATTATAACCTTACTGACTAAGTCCCATGATCCTCCAAGTAATCATGCCGGGGTCGGAGGATAACTTCTTATGTTCCTTACAAGGTGGTGCATAGCATATGCGCAGCAGCTGAGGATCATTGTCATGGCCACCTCGTACTTTCCAGAAATCTCTGCTTCTGTGACCGCTTTTGGGCTGCAACTGCTTTGCCTTGAAGAAGTATGTGAGCTTCTCCTGGAGGTGTTCGAAGTCACATTTTGAAGGTGTTCAACGTCATATTGGGTTTTGTGCAGACTGGGATGCTGGCTCTAAGACTTGAAGATCTTTGAGGTATTGGGGCGATCTCAGCCTTAAGCCCATAGTTGTCGGAACCCGACCTCGTGCTCCTTTTTGACCCAACAGTTGCGAAACTCTGACCCGAGCGAGCCGTGCAGCTCATGTAATTCTGAGAGTAGACCCCCTTGACAAAAAAGACTGATGCACACGACCCAGGACCAGCAGCTCTGCGCCAACAGAGCACCGAAGCACACATGTCAATAAGAAACTTGAATCGTTCAGCCCACGTCCCTGCAGAAGGCTTATGCCTTTTCCTTCTTGGCTGCTTTGATCCTAAACCCCACACCTTAAACCCTATACCCTAAAGCCCTAAACCCTACCCCCTGCAGTCTCCACTCCCGGAACCTTGCAGGGCTAAACCCTAAACCCTAAAGCCGTAGAGCCTCAACCCCAAGCCTGGGAACTTGCGAGGCGCCCCATGAAAATATGTAACCCTACCCATAGGCCCTAAAGTAGTTCCTTTTTGGGGTTCATCTATAGAATCCTACAAGGTAATCCCAAGAAGGAATTTCTATGGGGCCTCTGGGTATAGGGTAAAGCTCTGACAGCCCTAAGAAGGATTATCCTATATTCTAGGAGAAGTACACGGTTTAGGATTTAGGGTTTAAAGGGTTACGAGGGACATTGGCCGGGCGAGCTCCAATCAAGCCTGTGTAAAAAAAGGGTTTAAAGGGTTTAGTCATAGTATATTACCCCAAACACACAGATCCCGAAGTTCCGAGCTCGACTGCTCAGGTGGTGCGTGCGCCCAGCTTCCTAGCCACCTTCTACGGCCTTGTCCGACCACTTCTTCCGAAGATGCTCCAGGACAAGGCAAACGTCTGTATTTTTCGGTTTTGGCGATGTTTAAAAGCTTCGTGCTTAGGGGTATAGTATGGGCACCATACGGGTTACTATCAGAGTTCTCGGGCTTAGGGTGTAGGCTTCAGCATTCAGGTGAAGGGTAATTAGGATTTCGCTTTGCGATGAAGGCTTAAAGCTCTGCTCAGTGGTCTTTTTCTCAAACTTCTCCATTGAAGGGAAGGATAGCTAGATCACGCGAGTCCTTCGTTTGTGGTGAGTATCTGGACGGACTACCCCTCCTAGTTCTGTCCGACGGCAGAATGGCTCCTGAATTCTAGGTGAGGAATATGGATGCGTCTGGACCCACAAGCCCTAGACAAACCCGAACTCATGAAGGACGACGCCTGCAGCATACACCCGTGAAGACAGACACGCAAACAAGCACCACCTTTGAGGGGCTTCGAGTTGAGCTATTCGTCCTTGCGTACTCTATGTTAGTTAAAGAGGCTCAGTAGGATACGAGCCGGGAGACACTTCTGGTTTCAGGCGTTTCGGCTTCAAAGTGTAAAGGAGCTCATGCAGGATTTAGGGTTTAGGGTTTTTGAGTGCTGCACTGCTTCACGGCGACGGCAGTTCCGGGCGAGAGAAGCCTGCTGCAAAAGGGGTTTAGGGTTTAGGGTTTAGGGCAAGAAACCTGATAGATGAGGTCATTGTGCTTGGGCTTCTTCGCAAAAGGTCTGTATGCGGCCCATACTCCCGCGGCAATTCTTCGGACTTCCTTTCAGCGTCTGATCCTCGTCATTCGGTTGTGCTGTGGCCCTGCTCGAAGACAGATTTTGAGATGGGTTTAGGGGTTTAGGGTTTTGAGGGGCTGCTCTCATTCGGGTCCCTTGGGAAGTACATGATCGGGAAATCCGCATCAGGCACGAGACCAGGAAGGACCCATGGGAAGAAAGAGGAACAACCTGCTCCAGCTCTGAATCAGAGCCATCGTCAAAGTAGCAAAGCCCTACACCCCCATTCTCGTGAGGTGAGTATCCTGGGGAACAACTTTGAGAAGGGCGCTTGAGCTGCACTACCCAAGGGCGGCCAATCTACCTTGAACCCGAAACAGTTGCAGGTGTTTCGGGTTTAGGGCTTCCTGCGGTTGGGCTTCACACCTTCGGGGTCGGGGTTGAGTTCGGGGATGTTAGGTCACGTTGAGACTCGCCAAATGGTCGAGCTTCTGTGCAGAGGGAATACCTACAAAGCCCCCAAAGACATGACATCTGCAAGCGGGGAAGGATTACTATGTCTTACTATGTGTTCTCCACTGTGCTGTAGGGGATTGGATTTAGGAGTTACCTGGGCTTTTCTCGAGTAGGTTGGAAGAATGCAGGGACAGATTAACGAGATCAGTCAACAAGCAGCACGCATGCCCTCACAGAAGCCTGGCGGGGAATGATTCTGTTAGTGCTACCACCCACTTTAATCGTTTCGGCATCCGGGGACGGGTGTCAGGCCTGTATTTTTTAACTATTTTATGAATCACGCCGATGCATCTCAATGCGTGTTTCCGGGCGTGTTAAGTGTGTATACCTGTACGTAAATATGCATGAGTTTGTTGTGGCTAGCCCATGTTTTGCATATCTTGTCGTTTCCTTTGCAGGTATACGAAGTTATTCGCATTCATTTTTGCATACAGCATCCTCATACAATGTTCATGTTTTTCTCTTTGCTCTCAGAGACAAGTGGCCCTGTCAGCCTTCATTTTAATAGACTGTAGTGTGAGAAGCTGTAAATGTAGGCAGCCAGAATGGCATGAGAGCCGTGCGCGCAGCGGCACACATCGTCAAGTAGGGGCCCTTTGAGGATCCTCCTGTCCTTGCCGCATGAGTGACATACTCTGTCAGGTATTCAGGTATTCGACAAGGGACCAGCCTTAGTGAACGCACCCCAACAGATAGATAGGTAGATAGATAGATAGATAGATAGCTCTTTAAACAAAAATCTAGACGCTCATGAACTAATATATGTAATTCTACAATCAGCCCTATCATGCTCATGCGCATTGGCAGTAAGCAGAGGCCCTCGGCCGATGAGCCTGGAACTTTTCTGCGTAAAGGCTGCTAGAAGCGGGTTACTATGGCTGTTACTAACCCTGCAGGTACCTACTACATAGGGCCTTAGGGGCTTCAGTGCCCTGTGTAGTAGGTACCTGGGGGGTTAGGGNNTTAGGGTGTTACTACAGCTTTTACTACAAGGGCTACTACACGGGCTAGTATATCTGTTGCTATGACCGCTGGTTTTTTGCTGTTGGTCTGCTTGTCTTGGTCGGCTAGATGATGCTAGGCTGGGGTGCAACATCTACGACTCCCGATCCGATGGAGCGGTAGCGGGGAAGCAACCATCACTACGGGCCCTAGCCGAGCAAGAAAAGTAAATCCGAGCGCAGCAGGGAAGTTCAGGTGTCGATCCCGCCTGAGCTCTGCGACATATGAGATCCTCGCGAATAACCTCTGCTTATTGGGACAGATGTTAGATGTATGCCTCTAGATAAGGAGTTGCATGTCTCAGAAGCCCAGAAGCCATTGAGGTCTCTATGAACGCACTGGTCTGGAGATGGACAGCTGGCCGACCTTCCTTGGTGGGATGCTTGCCTTTCTGCAGGGCTTGGAGCTTTGGAGGCTTAGGGTAGAGAGGATGGACCTTGAGAGCTTTGTAGGCTTGGTATAGCTGCCATGGCTACTGCTGTTCCGGCTGTTCTTGTTGTTGATATCTGCTTACCTGCTCGTGGCAGGAAACCTACGCTTCGAGTGGGTTCGGTTAGGTTCGCACGTAGCGGTTCGTTTCGGAAGCGGCTCGGTTGTCAGCATCTCAAGGAGCCAAAAGCGGGTGCAGTAGATAATACATCCAGGGCAAGTGCTTCGCAGGGATCCGGGTGTAAAAGCACCGGCGAAAGGGTGTTGTTGTTGGCACTGAGAGGCTGGAAAACGCTACCATGGGTGCTTGTGTGCCCGCTTGCCAGGGGGCCTTGGTCGGGGGGGGGGGGGGGGGGGAAAGGCACCCCTTACCCTAAGCCTAAGTCCTCAACCCCCTGTTCGTGCTGCCTGCTTGTCAGGCACCCCTTCCTGAAAATAACCCCCAAAACTATGGTACTTTTTAGAAATAACACCAAAACTATGGTACGTTTTTTTTAAAAAATAACCCCAAAACTATGGTACTGGTACTTTTTGGCCTTGACAGGCAGAAACCCTGTTCGCGGCTGCTTGCCTGGACCCTTGCAAGAGCCCCAAGATCCCACAACACCAACACCCCCCTTAATTTTGGCACCTTTACTTTAAGATATACAGGGTTTAGGGTTTAGGGTTTAGGGTTTAATTAAGGCACCTTTACTTTAAGCTATACAGGGTTGTCATATTAGGATTTGTGCTAGATTCCTTCATTAAGGCTTGTTGGGCTCTCTGGGAATAGGGCCCTGGTTTTGAAAACAGCAAGAAGGCGCCCCCCCGCATAACTTTCCGCGGCTGCGCTTCGAGTGGCCCGAACGATGAACCTGTGGGCTCCATCTACTCAAATCTCAAAGTATGTGGAAGTGGGCTTAGGTTCGGAGGTGGACTTCCTATTCCATCAATCTTCGGGTCACGCCCCTCCTCCGGTAAAGGCGGCTAGACCTCGAACCCTATCTTTCGGTCCCTTTCCTTGCGGTTCCTGCGGTTCTTAGGACTGTCGACTGTGTGGAGGAGGTCCAGCGCGTTCCTCGGAAAGCCTGGAGCTTGCTGAAATCGGAGAGCCTGGCCTATGCGTGAGGCGGTGCAGAGTGGCCTCTAGTCGTAGCCGCTGTGAATTTTCTGAATTTTAGGGCAGGGCTCATCAATCCGCTATACCATCTCCACAGGACGCGAGGTGAATTGACGCCCGCTGAAATCCGGAGATGAAGGAGGGAATTACGGCAACCCTCGCCAGATTTCACATGACAGCGAAGGGCCCTGCTGATTTTTCAATTTTGTGCACCGGACCGAGTTTGTGCATCAGAATAATTGGCCATGGTTTGCTAAACAGGCCGCAAGCTCAAAATCAGAATCTGGCCGGGCGAACGCTAATCAAGCCCGTGTAGAAAAAGGGCTGCCCAGAGCTGCCAATCATTGCAATCTGAGAATCTTACTCGCTCCGGATTCGTAGGTCGAGAGTTCCACAGGCCTCGACAGCAGGAATCTGGCGACTGCGTCCCTCCCCAAAGCATCTTCCCTTTGAACGGCTCTTCGGGGAGCAAGGATGACTCCTGGACACGAGCTGAGCCGGGAGAGTTGCGCCAGGTGCTGTTGAGCTTGTGATGCTTCGCCAAGTGGGGGTTTCAGAGCATGCAAGTAGGGGTCCTTTTCTTTTGGCGGGTCATAGAATGGAGGCGTATGTATTATATATATATATATA